ATATATATATTTTATATATATATACACCATAGGAGGGATAGAAAGAAAAGAGAGAAAAGCGACGAAAATGAATAAGTTGTATTTACTGCGCATGAGCTACAAATATATAAAACTCATATAATAAGTTAAAAATCTAGAGAAAAAAAAGAAAATATTAAAGATTAATGAAGAGAAGAAAAAATTATTAAAATAAAACATTTTTAAAATCATTTCTTTTTCTAAATTTAGTTTAAAAGCAATTTAAAAAATAAATAAGTAATATTAAATAGTAAAACAAAATAATGAAAAGATATAATCTTTTCATCAGCTCGCACGATTATAGCCGTAAAATGGAGTGCTTTCTAATATTGTATCAATATAGCCAAATCAAAATGTATCAATACAACAGTGGGAGGAGCACTCAAAAAATTGAAACAAAAATAGAACTCATTAAGTAAAAAGTATAAACGAAATGAAACATATCAAGCAAAAAACTGAAAGTAAAATGTAAGGAAAATACGGAACAAAACACAAAACAAAATCTTTCAAGAAGCAGCAAATTTAAATGAACTTACACGTACCGAAATCTTTCAGAAATTATTTCAAATATTTTCCTAATAAGACTGCCAGATTGTAAAATATGAAAGCAGAAGCGCAAATAAAGGTTAGAAGTGTAAATGGAGAGATCTTTTATAGCACGTTCTTACTGCTGTACTGAAGCAAGTTTGATTTGTTAGTTACCTTAGATTGGCCTGAAAATGGTTAAGTGCCAAGTAATAATATTATACTGGATAATTTAAAGTTTATGATTATTAAGGTAGATTTTCAATTATACAATTTTAATAATTTTGAAAAATTTATATTTATTTGAAAAAAGAACCATGATTTACCCATTTTTCCCAGATTTTTAACCACGGATTTCCCTAATTGTATTTGAGCACGGTAAAAATATAAATTAACAAGGAGGTGTTTCGTAAATTTATTAATAATAACATATAATTAACTCAATGATTTTATTTAGAACTTAATTACATTAGTTGGGCATCCATTGTTTTTTATCAAATTTTTTAAAGACTTTTTCTATTTGTTTTTTGGAAAAATAAACATTACTACATATCCTTTTAATTCCATTCATTTGATTAAAAATGGAATAATTTGATTCACCCTCTGGCTGTTAAGCAAAAATTGGGAAAGAAAAGAATGTTTCTCCCTTATACCGGTTTTTCCTTAACATGGAAAAACCGGTTATGCTATGCAGACTTTTTACGCTATACGACTTTTTATGTGCATAACCGTCAGTGGGTTAAATAAAGGTTTTTAGAAACGTTAGAATTCTAAATAATCAGTTTAGAATTAAAATCATTTCTTTTATCGTATGAATCAACAAAGCAGATATTTTTTTTCTTTTTTAATACTTAAATCCAAAAGATTAAAATTAATATTATCATTATGATCACGAAGCAAGATTAAATCCTCGTTACATATGTTATTTAACAAAATTGTATCATCTTGAAAATTGAAGATAATTAAATCATCAATAAATCTAAAAACAAATTTAATATTAAGAGTATAATTTTTTTTTCAGAATCGTGTAAAAATGAGTAAGCTAAGACAGATGAAAAATTAGATCATTGTGATAGTCCGTCAAATTGAATAAAAATATGTAATCATTAAAAAGACAAAAATTAATTAGAATTTCCCAATAATCAAAGTCGCAATTAAGGATATTTTTAAAATCATATTAATAACTCAGAAAAAGATCTTATAGTTTAGAAAGGGGAATGCTATTGAAGAGATCCTGGAAGTCACAAAAGAAATACTTCTATTGCGACTTTTGATTTATTCTTGATTATTCTATTTCTCATTCTTCGATTTTAAATCATTCTTGAAAAATTCCGGTCCGTGTAACTTCATTTGAATTTACTACTAGCTTTACAAATTTCGTGCTGTGTTTTGTTCTGTATTCACTTTACATTTTATTTTTTGTCTTTTTCTTGATATGTTTTATTTCATTATATTTTTTACTTAATGTGTTGTAATTTTAGTGCTCCTAACTTTATTCTATTGATATATTTTACTTAGTTATATATTTTATATTATGCATTTTATATATTTTAATAGTTATATTATTAGATAGTGTACCTGGCAACTTTGATGCATAATTTGTTTGTTTATGTTCCGCATGGCATCGTGCAGGTCTTTGTGTTAAATTCGAAATATAAAGATAAAGAATTGACATTTTTTTTAAAAGAATGTAATATGTGTCACTTAAGAGAATTGATACTTTCACGGCTTGGCTTACTCGAAATAGAATGGAAAGAATAGTTGTTAACATAAACAGATGCCACGCTTCAACAACCAATCAGGATCGAGATACCCACACTACGTCACTTGCAGGTATCTCATTGCTTACAATCTATAGCGAGTTCGCAACTGTCTTCAATGTGGATTTTCATCTGCAGAAACTAAAGCTGGCCGTCAAAAATATATATGTATGTTTTTAGTTTTGTAATAAGGATAATTATATTTGCGTTTTTAAGTATTAAGCAATTTTATAATGTATAATTTCTGTCCATCCGCCCTTGCTCTACTAAGTCTAGTTCGAACTCATTTTAATAATTTCTCTGCTATGCCGGTTAGGTGGCCGAGCGATTAGCGTGCCTGACTACGAAGCCAATGGCTGCTGGTTCGAATCCCGCCCTGGGCATGGATGTTTCTCGCTGTGTGTGTTGTCGTCTGTTGTGTGAATGTGACCCACCCTATGAGCCGGTATCTGTGGCAGTGTGGTGTGGGTAATGTTGCTCACCTCCGTGACTTATGTTCACAGGTGCCCACTGGGTAACGTTTAATGAGCAACACTTCCGGCATCTTCCAAAGTGAACCTGCCATTAGGAAAAAAATTTCTCTGCTATCGTACGTTTGATTTAAGAACTCATTTTATTTTAGGAATTAATGTTTGCATGTAACCTAATTACCTAATTTACCAGGAACATAATTTACATAGCACCAGGAACAATTCTTGGATTTTAATTTCGGTGTAATGAAACTATTTTTACCACCATTAAATGCACGAAGAAATGTTTCAGTATAACAGTTTCATAAATTGAATTATTTATTTAATGCACCAGTTCCATAAGCAAGAAAAGTTATTTAGCTGGCCTAGTTGTAAGCTAAAGCTAAATATAAAAAGAACATGTCTCAAAACTTTGAAATATTGGGGGGAAAGTTTTTATCATTCTTAGAAAATATTATAAAAATATTTTTGTGAATGTTATTTTAAGTTATTATTTATAATGCGTTGACTGAAATCAGTTTGTTTTGAATGGCACTAAGAAAAAAGACTAAGCTTTTGATTGATAAATATGCGTTATGTGGTGCATGGAGATGTGATGTTTCTTGTGATGTGATGTATAATTGAAACGTGCTTGCGCGGTCTTGATATACTGACAAACTTCGTGCAGGAAAGTTTAATTTTGATTATTTGTATATCTATATATTCATGTATATTTATACTTACATAATATGTATTTGCATATTTATATTTTTACTATCATTTTTATTATTATCCTTATTTATGTACTCATTTTTATATTTATGTAATTATTTTTATGTATGTTCAATCTTCATCATATAAGATGAAATTAACTCGGGTAATGTGGCCATTTATTAATCCTTGCTTTTATTTCTAGGATACAAGGACCAAAAGGTTTCCACCTCAATGATCCTCACCACTCGATAAAGGGGTGAAGGGGAACTTCGGCCTCAGGCACCACGGCCAACCGGAACGACTAGGACTAGGCTTTTAAGTTTTCGTTTGACATTTATTCAACTACATTTATTCTGTGACGTATTTTTTAAAATCAGAAACATAAGGACATCCACATAATAATATTTATTCGCAAACAGGAAATGCTGATAAAAATAAAATGTAATTTTTGAAGTAAATAAGAAGTAAGTACAAAATATCAAATGCTGTCATAAAAAGAAGAAAAGAATAATTCAGATTCATTCTCCTCCAACAAATTGTTTTTGAATCTATTCAAAATGAGGATTTACAAATAATTTGGGGTTTTGAAATTACGAAAATACGGGATAACTTTAACCTAAGAAACGGGTAATGGTACCTGGTTTAATTATTCTGATGTTATTAAATATTTTTGTCCATTTTTCCTTAATTTTTGCACAACTTATTACTACAAATCCTGTGAAAGATTCACTTAACACAACTCTAGTTACAAAGCTACGAAGGCATCATTGTTAAAAGCAAACAGACTTTCAAAGTTCAACTTTTTAAATAAAAAGGATACACTTTGGTATACCTTTTCTGTTTCAAAAAGTTGAACTTTGGCCCTCAGCCTCGGGTCACATTTGTCCACTGTTCAAGGTTTTTTTACAAGAAAAATTGATATTATTTCTTTAAAAAAATAGTGTATGGTGAGAAGCATGCAATTTGTCAGGTAAAGAAAAACCAAATCATAAATATGATTTTTAATGATAAAAAAATAAAAATTGAAGATTAGACCAACTAATCCCTGATTATCCGACTCTGTTCTTAATTTAAAGCTTCTAATGCTAACGAAATCCAAAATTGTAACGATTATTATTTTTTTATAACATCGTTAAACAGCCGACCCAATTTTTGAGTTTACCACTACCAATGTAGCCTTATAATTTTGAACACAACCAAAAAGGCAAGAGAACTTCTAAATGAAGCATTGGTAAAAATCTTCGTGGAGTACTTTTTTAATGTAACTAACCCGCATTTGCGTTAGATGGAAGGTTAAGCCACGACAAACTCCTGGCAGCAAGATAATTCTATCCCATGATCCGTCTACCACTAATGCTATTTAACGTCACCACTGTGGTTAGAGTGATCCGGGTGTGCACATACGAGCCTTAGCTGGGATTCGAACCCGGGTCACCTCATTGGGAGCCGAGCACTCTATCCCCTGAGCCACCATGGCTCTGTGACTATTATTTTATTTTATTTTATTTTATAACCGTCGTTGCACAACCGAGCGAATTTTTGCATTCAAGACTACTAATGTTCAACCCCTTGCAATTTTGAATCTAATCCAGAAGACAAGGGAACTTCTGGATCAAGTTTTGGGAGAAATCTGCATCCGTGGATGACTTATCGATGGAATTTATCGTATTTGCGCAACATTGAGAGGAAGGCCATGAAAACCTCCCACGTTTTTCTCGACGGCACGAAGGTGTCATGTCTCTAATACAAAAAACTATTAATTTTTTTTTCTCATGCTAATCTTCGCATACTTCTTCCATCCATAAAGTATAAATAAATGAATTATGCATTGTTATTTGCTAATATCAAATGTTAGTAAAAATATAAGAAGTGACTTTAAAAAATATACAAAAAGCAACTCAAAAAATCACAGGTCGTTCTTAATAAATAGAAGAAAAAAAATAATTAAGATGCATCTCTATTTTAAAATTTGTTTTTTAATCTATCATTCCGAAAGCAATTCAGAGTTTTTAATATTACTCTGTTTTTAATTTAAAACCTCCAAAGCTGAAGAAATCCAAAATTGTGACTTCATTCTTGACAAAAATTGTTCATTGTGCGTCTAAAAATGAAAGACTTTAATTACAGCCAAGCCATGCACTCCATTTATCCATTTTTTCTTCCTTCGCCAAAGCAAAAGCAATTTCTTGTGTGCAAAAAGTGTGCAAGATTAGCCTTCAAGCTTTTCTATTTCAGGATATTAAAACTACATCTTTTCTTATTAGATAATAGCTTATCCTTTTCGTTCGTGATTGATTAAGGAAAAGGGGAAACAAAAATATTCAACGCCATGCATAAAAGCGTTATTATACACTTATAAAGAATTAGGGTAATCCGTCTTCGTCTTCTTGCTTAGATTATAATATATCATTTGAGCAGGCAGCTGCCATGCATAATTTAAAGGAAAAGTTTAACGAATGACGTCTATTCAGACGATTTGCCGCCAGAAATTTACCGCATCAGTTATGAAAAGCCTTTTATCTTGTTGCAGTTACTGAAATTTTGAGAGCCTCAATTCGTTTAAAAAATGTTAACGTTTTCAACGGTTCGAGCTTCTACTATGTGATATGGTGTTGAGAGAAATCAAGTTTAAAATACACTGCTGTATAAGTAAACATACGTTATAACTATTAAAAAAGAAAATCTGCAGTGATCCAGTTGTTTTGTAGAGTCAAATAAATTTCTTTAACTGGCATAAAATAAGAATACTTTATGCTCTTGACAAAAATATTAAATATCCATCACAAAATGAGTGGTAAAAAACGAAGGACTAAAAGAGTAAAGGAGAACATACTATTACATCATGTCAATAATTTAAGAAAGATACGAATTCCAAAAGAAAAGTTAACGGCCTGCAACTCGTCTGCCAAGCATGTTTCACACATGCTATATTGGTTGAAGTCAAAGGAAAATGCTGGCTATACCATACGGGTGATATCCTCCGATTAAATGCATTCGTTTACGATGTTTGCTCCTGACGGACGGAAGTTGCCATTCATAAGCACAAATTCTGCTATTATAGTACCCCTAAATCAATGTACATGTTGTTCCAGAAGTATATCCCGATAAATTTGGGCTGTCATTGTTCCAACTTGAGCATGCATGTTCTGGAGCCTAGGATAATTCCAACCCCAAACGAGTACTACCACCATAACGATGTCGTTTAATGATGCTGTCTTAAGTCCTGGTTTCTTAGGAAAGGTCGGCGTTACAAAACGCCAGCTTGAAGCTAGCGCTAACCCCTGATTGGTCAATTTATGAGTTAGACAGCATATGTCATCGAACGCTCAGCTTAAACGACGACTGACGTCCGAATCAACTGCAGTTGGATTACAACGTAACGTTAACGACGGAAGCAATGGCGGACAACATCCAACACTGCATTGAAATCAGCCAAGATTTTGATTTTAACATTAAACATAGCTTCTTCTTCCTCTTCTTCTTCATTTAGCTAAGCTATAATGCGTTTTTACTAAGACAAAGTCATTATTTGTTCTCTAAAGCACTGGTCGACAATAACAAAATCAATACACATTCAAAATAAATATTTGCTTACGACTACTCACGCTAAGCTAACAAAACAGTATCAGCTGGAAGTTGGCCCAGAGAAAGTGCTTGTCTTTAGAAACCAGGTCTTTAGAAGTAACGGGTACCTGGCGCTCTCCATATGAAAGTCTGACCAGAATCAGATTGCAAGCTAAGCCAGGACTCGTCGAGAACATCACTCAAGCCCACTGTGACGATGTTCACATTGCATGTTCACTACTTCAGGCTAAATTACTGACGACAGTGAGTTACCATTAACGGAACACATCTGGCAATCCTGCGACTGTATAGACCAATATTCTACAAACGTCGGTACATGGTTTGTCTTGAAACTGTGGTACCAATGGCTGCATCTGGTTGACGAGATATGTCTGGTGCTGTACTCCGTCTGCTTCTTTTGGCAGTTACTGCAGATTACTGGTCTTCGTTCGGCATTGTAACTAGAACACAATCTGTTCTGTAACGTCTACTGACATTTCCATTATCTTGGAATCATTTCCAAACCCTAGAGATGACAATTTGAGCAATTAAAAACCCCTTGCATATTTCCATATGAGAGCCCTTACGCTCCAGACTGCCGATTATTCTACCACGTAAAAAATCTTCTGCATGCGTCTACTGTGTCGTAACTGTACGATTATGACACTGAGTAGCCTTACCGAAAACTTGTGAACAAATTTACCTCTTTGCTATCAATCCTTATATACTACTATGTTATGCTCTCTTTATTGTGGTGTACAGGTGGAGTAATCTAAGGTCTTCCTATTATTTGAATATTATTCTTAAAGATCTCGATAATAATTCTATAGGTGAAATTTTATTTTGGAGTTCAATTTCGGTGTGCTTCTGAATGATCCTTAATTCATGGATATAATTGTATTTAGACAGATAAGATATTATTTCCGGTGCAGTATTTTATACTGACGCGAATGAGATCAATTTCAGAACGATCGGACAAACAGATAAAAGGTATGATAAAAGATATATCCAAAAAAAGTACAATTTTACACTTATACCTATCTACATGTCATAAATAGCCTAACAGACAAGTGAAGTATTATTTTCATTGTACTTTTTCTTGATTAATCGAATGTAACTTATATTTCACGAAATTGCGATGATTTTGTTAAATTTACAGCATTACGTGCAATGCAAGTCCTATTGTTATTACGTTTGATCTTTTCGATTAAGCAAGAAAAAATACAATGAAAACAATACCTCACTTGTCTGTTTAGTATATATAAAAAGTCAGCGCCTCGACAGCCCATTGAGAGCCAAGGGCTACTGCGCCCATCTCAGTTTTCTTGACCTTGGGCTCTGGGGTGCAAGAGCAGATGTTCCGGTAACGTTTTTAAATAGTGATATTACTGTTTTTAAATAATGATGTTAGTGTTTTTAAATAGTGATATCAATGTCAATGTTTTAAAATAATGATATAAGCCCTAAATAGTAATTCTTTGAATTGGAAGGTTTCTCTTCTTTGCTTTTTCTTTCTTCAATATTATTTGCTAACTTGTATGTTCATTTTTGATGAGGTTTCTAAAAATGTATAAAGGGTATTGATTACGGAAACCCTATTCAATCTCTCCTTAATAACTCAGCGTCTAACTCCTTTTTAAACTTATTTGTAAATGCGTTATAATGAATTCATTATATTTTTTAAGAACTTTTACATCCATAAAAATACCAATGACTCTTAACTATAAAATCATAATCAAATATTTGTGGCAGATATTTATTCAGTCTTATTGTCTTGTTATAAATGCATAGTATCCGAGTCTTATTGTTAGACTCTTATCACTAGTGTTATTGTTATGTTATAACCAGAGAAATAATC